CCCCCGGCCCCCGGCCCCCCCTGACACGCCCACCCCTCTCCATCGCCCCACAGCTCCAAAACATCGTCAATGCCAACAGCATTGGTTTCGGCAACCTGACCTTCGAGTCGGACAAGTACATCCTTGTCCGCGAGCAGAATGGTGATGCCGTCAACCTTGCGATTGTCGACATGGCCAACCCCACCCAGCCCAGCCGTCGCCCCATGCGCGCCGACTCCACCATCATGAACCCCGCCGGTTCGATCATCGCCGTCCGTGGTATGTTTCTCCCCTCCTCGCCGGGGCCGCGGCCGGGGCCGGGCTCCCGGCCATTATGCCCCTCTTTCCTCCACCATCCCTCTTCCTCCCTCCCCCTCCCCCGAATGTCATGTGTCTGACTTCCGCCCGCTTGTCCTTTGCTGCTGCCTCCTCCCCCCCCCTTCCCCTGGCCCTCCCCCCTCCTGCCTACAGACAGCGACCAGATCCAGCTGCTGAACATCGAGAAGCGTGCTCGCCTCAAGAACAGCACCCTCGCCGGAATTGTCTTCTGGAAGTGGGTTGACGCTTCGACCATCGGTATCGTCACCCAGGATGCCGTGTACCACTGGTCGGTCGAGGGCACCTCGGCCCCGGTCAAGATGTTCGACCGCCTGCCAGCCATGGCCAGCGCCCAGATCATCAACTACCGCGCCAGCCCCGACAACAAGTGGCTGTTCGTCATTGGCATCACCCTTGATGTACGTGCACAGGCAGGCACATACACACACACGCACGCACGCACGCACGCACGCACGCACGCACGCACGCACGCACGCACGCATGCGCTCCTTTCATGGGTCCCTCTTTGGCGCACATCGCCCCTTCGCAACTCCCTCTTGTCCCCCCCCCCCCGCCGCCCGATCTCTGACCTTGGTGCCGTCACCCACAGAACACCCGCATCAACGGTGCCATCCAGCTGTACAATGTCGACCGGTCGATCTCCCAGCCGATCGAGGGCCACGTCGGTACCTTCGCCACCTTCAAGATGGACAACAACCCCCACCCGACCAAGGTCTTTGCCTTCGCCACTCGCAGCGCCTCCAGCTCCATGCTCTGCATCCTGGAGATCGACCCGTCCGAGGGCAACGCCGCCTACCAGAAGAAGCAGATCCCGCTGAACTTCTCCCCGGAGATCCCCTCCGACTTCCCGATGGCCCTGCATGCCTCGAGCCGCTACAACATGCTCTTCATGCTGACCAAGTATGGCTTCCTGCATGTGTTCGACATTGAGACCGGCACCCAGATCTTCCTGAACCGCATCTCCTCCGAGACCGTGTTCATCGCCACGGATCAGCCCTCCACCGGTGGTCTTGTGGCCATCAACAAGAAGGGCCAGGTCCTGTCGGTCAGCATCGACGAGCAGCAGATCGTCCCCTACATCATCAACACCCTCAAGCGCAATGACCTGGCCATTCGCGTTGCCTCTCGCTGCAACCTCTCCGGTGCCGACAGCTTCTTCAGCACCCAGTTCGAGAACCTCTTCCAGCGCGGTAGCTACCTGGATGCGGCTCGCATTGCCGCCTCCTCGCCCAAGGTGCGTGCGCAGGCGGCTCGGGGATTGGCCCCTCCTCCCCTCCCCTCCCTGCTTTTCTCTCTGTCCCCCCCCCTCGCCCCCTCGCCCCCTCGCCCCATCCCACTTTCTTCCCTTTCGCCATGTGTGCACTCAATGTGTCACGGGCGGTGTCTCGGCGGGGCCGTCATGCGCGCCCGCATATCTCACGGCCAAGGTGTCACCAGCACCACTGACCACAGGCATCCC